AAAATAAAACACAGTAGAGAGACATTTGAGCCAATCTAACGAGATGAGGCAACAGAACTCGCACAGGTATATTTACACAACACTTCATTTGGGCTACTTCTGTAACACACACTAACAAGAAAGAAGTCTAATACAGAAGAACCATATATATACACACACAATACATGTGCACATACCTTCATACGTAATACAGCATATCTCAAAGTGAACACAACAATTCTGCAAGATTAAATCGTTTAAATAACAACCACATTTTAATGACAGTAGCCACTACTAACTACGCCCATGCTTAAGATAACATTTGAATTACACTATTGTCTTCAAAGTTTCACTCAAAAGTAAAAATTATTTTTATTTTATCACCTTATTATTGATGTCACTTAGAACTGAAATATTCTTGCTTGGTTTCCTGCACATGAGGAATATCCTTGGACTACTTGAGGCAAATCACATCAGATATTTGGATTACTCAATACAGCTAAGGAGAGGAAATGTATCTTCATAGCTGATGCAATTTTGTTTAGTAGCCAAGGATATTTTTAGAATACAGAAAGGAAAGCCATCAGACAGGAAAAGACTTGTAAAGGAACCCCAGATAAAACACCAGAAATAGAGCAGTTGTATGCAAAAACAAGTAGCTTAGAAGGGCCAGATATACCTTTGAACTGTTATTGTTCCATACCATCCTAGCATTAGTAAGAAGACAGCAAGGTACAGGTATATAAATCTTGAATGGACAAGAACAAACAACATTTGATACTACTGCACCTTTGGTTGCCTCCATTTTAGCATCTGGCAAGACTGGTGTTGAGGAAAGAAATATTAGAGATCTACTTGAACGAGCAATAGAAAGAGAGAGAATACAGAATTGGACGGTCACTGTGACTGCTGAGAAAGTGTTCAGGGCTGGTCATCTATGAGAATGGCACCCAGCATTACGGAGAAACTAGGCATACTACTGGAGAAACTCGCTCCTCTCAGAAGATACCTGTTACAGTAGAAACAAGCTGGGGAGAAAAAACTGTAACAGTGGACCAGGAGAAAGGAGGACAATGGCATAAGAATTACTCTGAACTCTACAAATGTAAATCAGTCCTCAAGAAAGACAGAGAAAATGCTGATGGACTTTTTAGATATATGCTGTGCTAGGAAGACTCCAGAGTCAAGACAGAAGGTTATGGAACCAACAGAGACTGCAAGAGACATTCCTCCATGCAAGTAAGACAGTAAGGCACAGCTGGCAGAAAATTATTCATAATTTATGTCAATAACCCAGTGCTGATTACAGCTTTATGGTGCACAGACACTGAGAAATATTCTTGTGGTGTTGTCAAGGTAACCTGCAAGTACGTAGGTGTGCAATTCTACTGGCGTTTATATCAAATGCAGAAGAACTAAGGAAATGAGAGCTTATATACAGAATCTGTGTTTTCTTACAACTGAAAAAGCTAAGACTTCGTTGGAGAGCAGAAAGACCTGGAGTAAATGTCAGGAGGAATTGAGCTCACTACATCCACAGAGATGGAGTGTCCTCCCATGTTTAAGACCAACAGAGTAGGAACAGAGCACAGCCTGCAGAAATCAGGCTACCTTCAGAGACACTATGAAAGCACTGACTGCTTCTTTAATTCCCTAAGTGCTACATATACATCTTGTGGTCACATCTTTAGCATCAGTACTCATGCTACCCACTACACATTTTTGTCAAAGACATTATTTAAAATACTGTTTCTGAATTCTGATTTGAATCATGATTCCTTACCAACTAGAGCACCCACAAGCATTTATTTTTTCATTCATGCTACCTTCTTGACCAGTTAATTAAAAGAGGAATGCAAAGAGGTTGTTAACACAATTTTACTTTGCTAAAGAGGGAGACAGAAGACTGGGTAAGAGCACACACTCCGCCAGTTACTGAGGCTCCAATAAGCTATGACCAGTTCCTAGCGCTGACTTATCCTTGAAAACAAGCTGCTTCTGGCACCAATATGATGCTGGGCTGCTTAAAGCCCCCCTCTCTTCTGCTCACCCTCTTTCACAGGCCTCATCGACAGTAGCAGAGCCACACTCACAGAAATCCCTGGCCTTCTCCCTGCCCCCCAAAAAGGGCAGTTTGTCCCATCAGCATCCACCAGAACTGTGACTGATTTAAGGACAAATTCTGCATGGCCTGGCCCTATATAAGGCAAGAAAAAAGAAAACCTCACAAGGATTCACAGTAAAACCTAACAAAAGCAGTATAATGCTGCTAAGCAATCTTAAAAGTGACAGGGACTCTTAAGGCTCTGTTTTAAAGCTTACATAATGCTAAGTACAGCCAACTACCAAGTGTTTGCAGTTTTGACAAAACTTGTAGTATATAATGAAATAATTCACTTTTTAATAAATCGTACTTTTGTGTGTAGCTTTTGAACTCGGCAAAGACACGACTTCCCACGCATTTCTGGTACATGACAGAGGAAAAAGATCTTTCCAGAGAGCTCCTATCTACTGTGGAGTATTTTGTTACTGGTAGTCACTATCCATCATTTACTGGGTGTAGATGAGGTTCCTACATTTGACCCAAAAAAGGCTGATGCAGAATTAAATTCAGCCACAGGCACACAGGAATAAGCTCTTACCAGGCTCAAGGGTAACTCTATCCACTCCCGAAGAGCCGTTTCCCCGTGTTCTTAGACCAGAAACGTAATGTATACACTTAAACACAGTGATGTCATTCAAGCTCGCTGCTCTGAATGGACATCCACCAACTCAAGAGCCTTCTGCTATACCACAGTTTTCACCTACCCACCAAACAAACAAGTGAGGTAGGTTGAATCCAGGAGATACCAGTCTGCCATCTCCCAGATCCTCTCAGTCTGCAACATAAATTTACCCGAGTTATGCTGAAACATATGCATGATGAAATGTAGGCAGGGCACTATCTCTTCCAATCAGAAGTCTTAGAATTATGACCAAAAAAAAACCCAAATAAAAGGTAATCTTGACCAAGCAGCAATTTGCACAGGGTTAATAAGCAACACAGTTGCACCAGCAGGACCTTCCAAAACAAGCTGCTTTAATTTCGGGACTTCAGAAGGATTTACAAACCACTGCAGAAAGCAGGGCTTCATTACGAATAATGGTTACTTGGGAAGACAAATACCATCACTCTGAACAGCCCCCCTCCTTCCTTCTCCCCCAGTTTGATATGTTGAGCATGACATCATACGGTATGGAATATCCCTTTGGTCAGTTGGGGTCAGCTGTCCTGGCTGGGTACCCTCTCAACTTCTTGTGCACCCCCAGCCTACTTGCTGGTGGGGTGGGGTGGTGTGAAAGGCAGAAAAGGCCTTGACTCTATGTAAGCACTGCTCAGCAATAACGAAGACATCTCTGTATTATCAACACTGTTTTCAGCACAAATCCAAAACACAGCTTCAACTACCTCTATCCCAGCCAAAACCAGCACAGCCCCATTTACCTAGACACTGCTCTGTGCCTTAGGAAGGGAATACCTCTGCACTGCCTAAAAAACCTTCCAGGAGTGCAGAGCTCACTCAGATCCACAGAGTCAACATGACAATGTCACTTAGATGTCCTGAAGACATCACAGCAGCAACCTTCTCCTGAGGGATACCTACAATGCAAAGATGATATGCCAATCCCTACAGGGCTTGGGTCACAGAGAGCTGCCAAGATGCTGGCTGAATCTCAGTTTCTGACCAAAAGCTTTGAAATGTTCCAAAGAAGAGGTCTGCTGCACAAACTCCCCCAGCACTGCAAAGTTAGGAGAAACAGCTAACCAAGAGCCATGTTCATGGAAATGAAAACCCAGCAGATGCGATTCAATCCCCTCAACCAGCATCTTGGGAAATCTGCCTGAACACAATGTGAGCCTGTTTGCTTTCACATAATACAGGGGACCTAAGTAAAGGGGAAGGGCTATAGGCAAGCCAGCATCAGATCCAAGAAGGTGCTGGGAGGACACAGAAGACACACAGAGGACAGATGTGGATGAAACTCAGGATTTTCTGCAAGAAAAAAAAATTTCAGAACAGCTTTTGTTCTGCTTAAGAATAAAATTGATTTTAAGAATGTCCCACACAATGGGAATTCTGAAATATTGTTTTAAAAAACATTTATTAAAGCATTTTGCTCCAAATTCCATAATGAAACCTTTGAATGGCTCAGAAAAATGACAATGGCTAGCAATACATTATACATATATTTGAAAAAAATATAGATAAATGTTCTTTGTTACCTTCACCTGCAGCAAGGATAATCTCATCAGTTAATATTTTCCATTTAGCTTAACAGCTTGTGCTTTTTAAACAAGACTACAAACTGTACCATGAATACTTCTTTTACCCATGGGAAGAAACGTACTACAGAAAGCAATCAAAGATTCTCAGCGTTTGATTTTGCTTTTGCAAAACAACCTAGTTAGAAGTCTCTAAGGAGATATTCCAGAATCAATTGCATTAAATTATGTTCTGAGAGTCCAACAGCAAGCCAGAATACAAACAAAGCACAAAAAAGCAATGTTTCCCTTAGTGAAATGAGCACATTATTATTAAAAAGGCAATCTGCAGTTAATATTGGATAGGATTCGGGTTTTGTGTAAAGGTTGAAGTTTTGAAAATTATTAGGAACCAAAACACTCCCACTTGTTTTGATCTTTGATTTTCAAGTGAAATCAGAATTAAGATCTATTAGGTCTATTTCAAATTTCTTTCAGATTCTAATCTCTTCCCATGATCCCAATCATCCAGGACTTTAGCCATCAGGGGAGCATAGGCCCCATCACCAATGCATGAATGTATGTGAGCCCTTTCCAATGACTCAAGATTTGCATCACCAACGAGAAGGCAACTTTCTTTTTAGCACTCTCCACACAGCTGACGTTGTTCTTACCACCTTTTAACTTGGTTGTAAGTACCACAGATTGAAAATGAGAAAAGCAGGGTCAAAATTCATGTAACTAGAAAAAAAGGTATCACCTGGAGCAAAACACATACCTTTGTGGTATATAAAACATGTGCTGAGGTGGGGGTTTGTAGAGAACTCCTTCATACACAGGCCACAAACCACTTAAAATTCTGAAGAGCGAACTCTTTCCACAGCCATTGGGTCCAGTGATTAAAAGATTCATCCCCTCCTGCACCTACAATAGCAATGAAAATGCAAAGATGTTAATATGCAGGGTACATGGCACAAGACAGTCTAAGACCCCCAAATGGAGTTACGTAAGCATTTATATCAAATTATCAATCCATTTCATTAATTACCTGCACACATTTATGCAACTATTCTGGAAACAGTGACATTAGATATAACATGTACGCTAAAATAATGAAAATAACTTCTATAATGTCTGAGTATTTCTATAAACTACACTGAATTATCTCACAATGTCAATACACCACAGTCAGAATCAATCATTCTAATGCAGGTCAGATCCTGCATTAGGGCCTGTAGTGACAGGACAAGGGGTAACGGATTTAAATTCAAAGTGGGGAGGTTTAGATTAGATATCAGGAAGAAGTTCTTCCCAGCGAGGGTGGTGAGGCACTGGAACAGGTTGCCCAGAGAAGCTGTGGATGCCCCATCCCTGGAATTGTTCAAGGCCGGGCTGGACGAGGCTTTGAGCATCCTGGTCTAGTAGAAGGTGTCCCTGCCCATGGCAGGGGGGTTGGAACTAGATGGTCCTTAAGGTCCCTTCCAACCCTAACCATTCTGTGATTCTACGAACAATGCACGCAGCAGTGCTATACCCATTGGTGATATTAATTTAAGCTATGGAAGCCCGATCAAATGACTTGGAAAATTTACTTCATATTGCCCTTTCCCGCTTATTTACCAGCGTTATTTTGGCTGTGTGGCACTTGGTTTCACTCATTTGAATATTATCCTCCGTATACATGAGTGTATAATCACAATGCCATTGTCTATGTTTTACATAAACATAGTGACCATGTTGCATTTTCTCTTGGTTTTGACTCTTGAGCCAAATCTCAGTGTCTCCAGAGCCAGTGTCTCCTTCACTATAAGGCTGTAAGTTTACAAATCTGAAATTCCTACACTGAAGCCATTGCAAGTTTTGCCACAGCTAGGACCCTGTCCTCCTAGTTGCTAATTCCTACATCAACACAGTTGGCAAGAAGAACACTCTGCTTCAGCTAAATTAAAGGAGCTGCTGCTGGAATTATTCATGTTAGTGTTCCAATAACTTCAACTATTTTTTTTTAATAGTAACATCTCCAGTGGAACATATATATATGGGAGCAATTCAATAAAGGTCATCCATAAAAATTATGGGCAGGTACAGAGTGGTTTCTGGAAGAGCTTTTTAAAAACAGTGCAAGTTTTTACTGAGTAAAGACTCCACAGCTGGGCTCGTGCACTATGCTGTCAACTATTAGTTAGTACTGCTCTTTGTGGTGACCAAGTGGAACTACGGACTCAATTTTTCAACTGTTGCTGTGAACTCAGACTTTTAAAAGGAGCCTAGGTGAGTAAAGCATCCCAATTTCACTGAAATTAAAGATGGATGCAGATTCTCATATACAGCTTTGAAAATCTCAGGTCAGTTTTTCACCTGGAAACAGGACCAGAAACCCTCTCTTCTCTTTCTTTGAGCAGCATAAACTACATATGTCTGCCTCTATTGAGCTACTATGCCTACCTTTCTGGACTTTCCCTTTTATCCATATGCTCCTCCAAGTACTTAACATAAGGTACATGAATTCTGTGCTGTTTATATTAATGTGATGGCAACAATCAGAAGATTCTTGCATATCATCTTACTTTGAAGTTTAGTCTGGAAACCACCACATCACCGTTCGGAGTAATAATAGGAACATTTTCACAAATAATTCCATGATCAACATCAATAACTTTTCCTAGAAAGAAAAAAATTTAAAAATTAGAGTTTGTGAACCTTCTATTAAGCAACGATATGTGACAGTGTCTGTGCAGAGGAGAGAAGTATGAATAGGTGTTTCAAACAACTCTTTTATGTGCTCCAGGTTCCCCTAGTGGAAAAGCTGGATAATAAATCTTGGCTAGTCAGAAAGACACTGCTTGAGGTAGCCAAGAGTATGCAATTAATCCTAAATTTGATCATAAACATATAATGCACTGTAAAGACACGTTTCTAGCTGTGTTTATGGTATTTGGTTTCAAATAAGCAGTCAGTATCAACCAGTAAAAAAGTTCAAGGACAGCCTTAGCCACCAGCAGACCAGTTTACCTTCTCTTGAGGATTTAGTTAGAAAACAGAATCTACTTTCACTACCAGCTCTGAAACTCAGAGCCAAGTTCAGTCCAGCAACCAGAGCAAAGGATGGCTTGCTTCCAGCTCTTTTTGAAGCCACAGACACGTAAACATGTCTTGCAAGTATTTGCAGAAACCCATATAACATTTCACTCCAGTAGCTACACTTACTATTTGGATTTCTGGCAAATGTAAATATACAATCTCAATTGGACATTTGGATACTCTGCAACACAAGGGCTTTGAAATAAATTCTTCTGGAAACAGTAAAAAAGTGAAATCAACTCTAAATTCTCAATTGCCTGTTAATGGGCTTCTCTAACAGAATCCAAACAACTGGGCTCCTCTAGACAAATACCAGAAATTACCTTTACAGACAAGATGCAAAGGAGAGAGATTTCTCTTTGTATTAGAAGGCTGATCATTTTATAGCTTAGACTAATCTGAACAGAGAAAAAAGGAACTACGAAAAAGTTGTGTTTATTACAAACAGATCTAGTAACATTTCCTTCATTTAAGGTTAGTTCTACATTTTCCATTAAAAGGCTCTTTGTTCAATTGCTTCTGACTTTGACAACTATAAAAACCTGGGCAAAAATTTCTGTGCCATGTATCACCTCAAGCGTTCTTTTTTTCCTAAAATAAGTTCTAAATAAAACAATTCTGTGGTGTCCAATAAGACCATAGGCTGGGGGGGCGGGGAGGGGGGGGAACCAAAACCAAACTTGGATACAGTGGGGAAATTCTAGTTAAAACAAATCTATGACAAAAAAAGTAAGCATTGAGTAAACTTAATTCTAATTTCCTAACTTCAGTGTTTGACTCCAACTTTAGCAGTATTTGTACAAGATGTACAAAATTCTATTTCAACTTTAAAATTCTGAATTATTAGACACACTCTGTATAAGGCAGTATTGTTATCTGTTAAAATATTCTAAGAGTTTTCATATTTTCACAATGCTGTTATTGACAACAGTAAATGTAAGGCACAAAACATACATCCCTTAGTCACATAAACTTGTACTGGGTGATTCAAAAGGAAATTAGTAGTACATGGTCAAAGAGCCCTTGGGGAAGCTGAAAATTAAGATTTTTCTTTTCTAACAACACAGACAGATATATGTATGTGAGCACGTGTACTTTTATCCACATACAAATCCACTTTGCAGTGATTTCTGAAGTATCAAGACCAAAAGAAAGGAGAAAAAACAGGATTACAATAGGACTTGTCATAAAAAGTGTGGAGCCTGTGGCCCAGATTCATCTGGCCTAAATTCTACTTAAGCCCCTGTGCACAATGCTTGGTCTTGGCTAGCTGCCTCTGAGAACCAACAACCACTCAGGAGCAAACACTAGTCACCAGGACTCAGGAGGAATTCAAGCTGGATGAAATGGGTGACTGTAGTGGAATCAAATCTTGGGAAGAGGCTGAGAGAAAACAGGAGTGGGCTATAAGTATACTAGACCAAAAGGGAACGTGAACAGCATGTTTGCAAACCTGAACTGTATTTGGTTTTGTTTTTAAAACAGTCATCTAAGAAGAGTCCCCAGATAGCCTTGTTGCTCCAAGAACTACAAACCTTGTGAAACACGACAAAATGTAACAGTTATAAAATGTCCTTTCTTTTAATGTCAGCCAAATGTTAACCAAGATTGACAAGATTAAGACACTGGCTATTTCCACAGCTACCCACCACGCCGCATCAGGCTGTTTGTTATGAAGAACCTTCTCAGAGGACCTTTGAGAAATCTGTGCTGAAGGGCAGCACTGTTGAAATTGCTGAAAGAAGGTACTTCATAAAGAGCACCGTGGTGCCTTCAACTCTACCGAAGTTTAAGTTTTCAAAGCCCAAAGAGAGGGGATGAAGCTTTTCAACACAACAGAGGGGAGAAGCCTAAGGTCTCTGTTGGGAAAACTGGGAAAAGCCCATTGCAACAACTGCCTTTAAGTACCTCAGAGAGAAGCTGTATACAAGAAGAAAAGAGAGATGACACATAATGGACCTCAATAAGAAATGGATGTACACAGCAAATGCTCTGGGGAGAGTGGAGAGAGAAAGACCGTGGCACCAGAAAGATACAGGATAGGGATAGGAGGGATAAGGCATATATTGTTCAAATCATTTGGGAGGTGAGGGAAGGGTAGTTGTCAGATCATTTTCAGTTAAAAATTTCCACAAAACTATGAAAAAATGAACACAGGCTGATTTTCAGGTGCTGAAAACAATGTAGTGTTTGCATCAAAAATTACTGAATCAACCTGTTTGTTTCCCCAAACAAATTAATGTGGCATTTGAAGATGAAAATGTTACAGTCTCAGTTTTCTGAAAAAATTGTCTGAGGAAAGCAGGCACTGTCCATGTAAGAATAATACTACCACCACCAATAACAGTATAGTTGAAATGTCTTTTTCATTGAAAATTTCCACAAAAAACATTTGAGCAAATTTGTGTATTAGAAAAGTATTGCAAAAGCACAGTTACAAAACAGCAGGAGGATAAAATGGAAGGCAACATGGTCTCTGGGGTATTGAGAGGCTGATTTGTTGTAGAAACAAACCCTCTGTTCACCTCCTGTCCCACTGCACCAGCCTCACACACAGGGAAATACATACAAATACGAATTAATTACCTTTGATTTCTAAGGGCCCATCGATGTGTAATTCTGCTTTATCTTCATTCTTGCTGTTGCTTTCAGACCCTTGAATAACAGCAGTTCTTTTGTAGATGCCTCTCTTCACCTCATCAAAGACAGAGAACATGTTGTAGACACGGGCGGTGTAGCCTGCTAGCTCAGTAACCTGAGAAACAACAAACACCTCATTTCAGTTCAACTTTGCAAATTCTATAAATTAAATGTGTGGCCAAAGATTCATGGAAGACATTCCCAGCTATTCTGCGTCAGTGCTTCTCAAATGTTACTCTGGAAGGATCATGATGTGCTTTTTGACGCCTATCAATTTTTCTTCCTTGAGATTCTATGTTAACCCACATGCCACCCACAGCTCCCACCAGCCAGCAGACAAGGATGGTTTGAGGGGGACAGATTTCAGCTAACGTAAGCTATGATCGTTCCAGTAAGTAAGAAGGTTGCACAAACTGCTCTTTTCCGTGAATCAGTAGAGGCTTCAACCAGCAGAGAATAGCTATTAGCATATCTGAAAATAGAGAGCCTATCATAAAAGAGAAAAACAAAATCTCTGCATTTGCCAGCAAAATAAAGGTCCACAAAAGTCAGAAAAATTGGCATCTATAATTATTTATGTTTACTTTCCTGTATTCCTGAAACCTCCTGTGGGAAAAGTGTGCTTTCCTGTGTAAAACAGGCAGCACCAGAGCATCCTAATCTAAAACATGGTACAAAAAAGACATTACTCTTCTGTCAGGCGCACCACAGCTAAATCTGAGACCCTGGATTCAAACTGGGCATTTTTAAGATGGAGAGGTCTCTTAAAAGGCTTTCTCCTTTTCATGGTCCTTTTGTCACAATTCCCACCTGGTGAAGACAGAAACAATAGATCTCTGGACCTGATAACTTCCTACTCGTGGGCAGCAACACCACCAAGAGCTCCCAAAGAACTGCCTCCACCTGCTGGCAGCAAAGAATTACACCTGGGCACCTTATTAAAAATCTTTTATTAGATGGTCTTAAAAGGATGAATTTTTATACTAAATGCAAAGAGCAAGGCAAGAATAGTAAGAAAATGAGTTCACGATTTTAAAATCATTAGCTTGCTGGGGTTAAACACATACACCCTATGGCTGAGTTCACCTGCTATGGCGCGCACAATCACGTTACAAAATCCTCTGGAAATGTCACTATTTGTGCCAGATTCAGAAGTGAGCGCTAGTTGTGGCCACATGGCCATCACTCCACTGCAGGTTAACAAATATACAACCTCTCAAAAAGCTCAGTTTAAAAAGAGTCATTGGTCAGTGTTTCAACTCTGTCAGCTGTACGTCGGTTTGCACTACTGGTAACTGCATCAACAGCTGCAAAAAGTGTTGGGTGCTTGAGGCAGCAGGTAGCACACAGGAGCTGTAACACCATGCTCCACAGTCCTTCTGGCAATTTCAGCGGCAGCCCATGCCAGGGCAGAGTGCTCCACACAGCGTCAGCAGTGGCATTTGATGGAGAGAGAGAATCCTGCATGTGATGAACAAAACTTGTACTAACTGTGCCCCAGAAGAAACGTAGCTTGTAGTAAGTTTCTCAACCACGACCCTAGCAACTTGCTTTGTCATAACACTAAATAATACCATCTAAACTATTGACCTGCAGAGGAAAGTTGAGCCCACCTCAACTACACACTGAATTACACTGACTGGAAGGAGGCTGCGTTGGTGGATCAGGTGGGCAAGAACTGAAACTTCACTACCACGTGAAGTGGACGGAAGCGTACTTCAGAGTACTGTCCTTTGGAAACTGCCTGAATCACGAAATGGGAATGACAATGTGGTTAAGGTACCACAGTGCCTCCTGAAGAGAAGCCCAAATGTAAAATTTGGAATGGAAATGGGAATTCATACAATTCATCTTTGATCCCATAATGTCTGGATTAAAGTCTCACCGTGTTATAAACAAAGTGAGTTTGCATACTACTCTGTGGGTATTTTTGCTTCCAAAAAATCAAACCACAGTGTTTGTAAGTCCTCATTACATAAATGACTTAAATGCTGCAAATAAAATAGAAATGGCATTAGTAGGTTAATCTGGCAGCATCTTCAGAGCAGAGGGGACAACTAAAGGAGCATAGGTAAAAATCACAGTCCATCAGAACTCCTTCTGAAAAAAACACAGACTGTGGCTTTGTCAGAGGCGCCAAACTACCCCTCCTCCTCCAACTGACAAAGCTGTAGCTATTATGGCTGGATTCCAAGTAACGGAATCCATAGTCTTTGATCAGCTGCCTAGCTAATGCGTGCCTCCTCGCGCTGTGCTGGGAAAAGGGATCCCCACCAAAGGGACAAGCAAAACCCGATTAACAAATGCAAAACCAGCACTCAGAAGAAAACATTGAGCAGAAAAACAGTGCTGCCTCACTTTTCTTTGGCTTTACAGCCAGCACCTAGAGAAATCCCCAAGACAGACCATAGAAGAAAGCTCAACTTTACTGGAATTTGGGTAAGGACCTGAAACAACATCTCTGATCTTCCAGATGAACATCCCGTATTTCTAGACTATGTGCTCTCCCAAGGTGGATTTTTTCCTGCTAAAATTTCACTATTTTCCATATTTCTTACAGTTTAACAGGTTCACCAGATACTGAAAAGAACCCTACGGTTTAGGTGGCCAGGAAAGAAGTAATCAATTCTCTTTGTGTTTCATACAAAACGTGACACACTTCCAACAGAAGTGCCCCAATACACTGGAGGCAGACTGAATTCAGGTCTGTGCTCCAAACAGAGGAGGAATCCTAACCTTTAGTACTCACATTCCATGAACTTTTATTGCTCTCTGATGGCACCTGAACACAGGTATTAAAAATTACATTTACATGTTGCATCATACTGGCAGCTGTGCACTTTAAACTCTTTGTGGACTTAACTCTAAAGATCAAACTATCCAAGATCTCCATGGATTTAGCTGCAATAGAATTTGCCTTTAAAAACTGCACTTTTTAAAAATATTAAATGTGAATTATGTTTTACTGGTTTTTTCCTCCTCTGTTTCGTGTATGACAGATGTACAGTACCTCTTTGTATGAAGACATAATCCTTTCAATAGCATCTGCTCCAGAGATTAGCAAGTTTCGTGATGTAGTAAAAGCTTCTGTTCTTTCACTAACCATAGCCTGTTTCTGGCCATCTTCCAATTCTAAAAGTAAAAATACAAGTTTTCTGTTAAAACATTCTTCTGAGAATTATCTTACTTCCTGACTTTGGTTAAAAAGAAACATTTATACTGATGGAAATTGGGCAACATGATTTTATTTCTATAGGGAAGCAAAGGCATGGTTTAAATAGGATACCTCTCCCACACAACACAGTTTCTCTCTTCACCTGACCCCAGAACAAAGCTGTCATGCTTTGTTTATAACACTGCATCCTATTAGCAAGAAAACTCTTGCTCCAAAGAAAGCAGATGTCTCCTAAGAACATGTCAGCAGCAACAGGAGAGGAGAAAACAGCAGCAGAAATTATAGAAGATATGTGAGAAATATGTATGTTTACATTTAACATATCTATGTGTACTCTTGCTACCAGATGACCCACAGATTTATACACCAGTCAATTTGCAATGCTTGCTTCTTGAAGGAAACAAGATCAAAAGAGAAGTGGATGAATATTTTAAGACTGAATGTTGTTTCAGTATTACAGTTGCATCTACAAAAAAAAAAACACACCAGACAGTGCATCATAAAATACTTCTAAAGATTTTTCACATATAAGATTTAGAATTAATGGTCTCAAGGGTTTTGTGCATCACACAACCAATATATAGAGACATGTATAAAGTTAAGTCTGTTGCAGTACAGGGTATGGATATTTTTTTTTTCTAAATTTTTTTTAAAGTTTGTTTTTTAAGCTAAACTGCTGCTAGGCATCAGGCTAGGCAGAAGAATAGGTGGCTCCAGTGTGGCAACTCCTGTATTAGCAATTGTTAACATCCTGTGATGTTTGTGCAGTGCTTAGGGTCATGGAAAACTGGGAGTTCCCTGCAGGTGTAATGCAACTGTAAATTTTACAGACTAAGTCAAGCAATGCAAGAGTATAGCAATCAATAATTTTACTTGTTGAGTAGTTGTCTCACCTCCCTGACAAGATCAGATTCTAGAAATCTGGTGTCTAGAAATCTACATGCAGCCAGATATATCTTTCTGTCTTTATCACTAAAATCTAAATATTATATTGTTTTCATTTACACATTCATAAAGCTATCCTTACATAAATACATCTGAATCACTGAAATACACTATGGATAATTTAGGAAAAACTTCTTCTAAATTCCTACATCATAATTTTGCAGGTACATATATATACACACCATCTATATGTTACTCTTTCTGGTCTCAGTTTTATGAATCGTAATTAATTGAAATACAGGTTCAAATTTTTTAGCTTAAATTATACACCACCAGTACACTGCCAACTAGTTGTATGTAATCTAGCCACCTGAGACACGAGGCACACTTATTTAAGGGGAAACATAAAAAGCAGCATCTCTCCTGTATGTAAATGCAGAATTTATGGAGGGCTGCTTCCAGCACCCAGGCTAGCTCAGCTAGCAAGACCTGAGAGAGCTCTACAACCCGCTGCATCCGTCATCTTAGGCAAACTTTCGAGGTTTTTTTAAAAATTAAGATACAGAATTTATAAGCATTTCACCATTCCAAAACACAAGCTCTTACACTACATGCTTAACCCACCAAGATTATTTTTCTGGAATTTTTCATCCAAAACATTTTTCATACGGCTGGCCTCCTGCGGTTGAAGAAGTGGTGCATTGTAACAAGGCAGACAGGCTGTCTCTGTTTCATGCAGAACCTAACATTTTCCTTTTCATCTTTATTTGTGTAATTGATAGTCATACTTGTTTTACAAACAAAGATAAGTGTTCATGTGTCTAGAGAAATCAAAGTCTTGCTTCCAAAAATAGTTACTTTCCAGAAACTGATGAGAGACACAACATTTGGAACACCAATCCTTTAATACAAAAAGAACATGAAATGTCATCAAATGGGAATCTTGGCTTTGCTAGTTAATTTCTTCCCTGAAATATGTAACAGGATTAGCAAATTTCAGTCAGAAATATCACAGTCATAGAAGATTATTTTTTCTTTTTATTGCAGGATTATTTTTTTACTTTTTTTTCCCCCTCTGAAGAAGTGTGCAAAATCTATTGCTTCACCCCTTTAGTCTCAGGACTGGCCACGGTACCAGTTTTGTGCATATCCTGATTCTGGTGATGTATCCTAAAGTAATAAATCCACTATCTGTCCCTTCAGATTTGAACAAACTTGCATCTGACCTGCTGAGGCGCAAAGCGCTGTCTTCCCAAGCATGTCAATGGTAAGCTGAGGTCTGCTTGATTCTTTGAATACCTGTTACACCTCAAACTGGTCTTCACAGCGTTGATTTGTCAGTATTATGTTTGTGATCCATCATTATGATATGCCTCAGGTCTCCATAATAAGCCCTGTGCTTTAACATTTTACATTGCTGGTGGCAAATATTCCTCCGCTTTACAACATCAGCCATCACTGTGTCTTTCTTTTCTCCCACATTAGAAAAGTATTTATCAAAAGAGTACTCATGAGTAAAAGGAATGCTATTTAGTTTAGCATGAATATGAATCTTTTTTATTAATCATGCTGTAATACCAAGGAGATAATTAGAATGTATGGTTAAACAACCTTTTTCTTGCCTGTACTCATTCCCATGTTAGCAGAAAGACTCTTTTCTGTCTTGCTGATAACCTTCACTGTGAGATGAAATGGCTTTGTACAAACCCTTCTGTTTGGAATAGGACCTCCTGATATTTTTGAAGCTGTTACCAGGATGTGAGCCAGGGTCCTGACATAGCGCCCTCCTAAGCCATGTGATGGGGAGCAGCCCAGAGAGCTGAACACCCAGCTGTGTACTGACAAAACTGCAAGTAAGCTAAACCATGGGGGCTGCATGAAGCCATCCTACAGCTAGAACCAAGCTTGTCCAGCTGGACAGCCCTAATTTGGAATACAGCTACCAAGACCTGCACAGAGAACAATTCACACATTCCTGATTAAACGTACTACCCAACTTAGAGCTGATCTTTTTGCAGACACTGTAGGAGCTGTGCTTAAAGAATCCTATGGAATGTGTAAGTTCTAATTGTGCATAAGGAAGCCTGTTGAAGCAAACTTCCCCACTTGTCTTTCACTACCCTTAATTACCTTTCTTTCTGCTCTCTTTTTTTTTTTTTAATAGCATCTGCGATAACAACACTACTCGAGTCTCATTTCACTTCCTGGAAAGTTGTGACAGAATGTCAAAAATGATACCCTCCAAGCTCTGAATCTGAACTTCACCTTCTCTTCTTCCAGGGAATCAGGTAAAAACATTGGTTCCTAACAGGTCAGCACATAAGAGAATAATTACCTATAATTACACTATGGTTTATGGAAGGAGATAAACACTCTAAGAAAGTTAATAGTACCATTTTGTAGAGTAGCAGACGATGCTGCAAAAGTCATCCTGCCATCCCAAGAGTTGCCAGTGGAAAAGGACTGCAAATATCATAATCTCATGTGACACAAGGACACTCTAAGTCCTGAATTCATGCTCTTTATCAGTCTTATGTTCAAAGTTGGCTCTTTTGCAGTGCCCTTTCCTCAGCTGACTCGCTATGCCTCAAAGTTACGCAGAAGACAGAGACACTAATAAACCCTGAATAATAAATAAATATGAACAGCGTTCAGGGGAAGTACAGTCTTCTGAGGACATAACTTTCAAGAAACATTTAGAAATTAAGCAAAAAATGGTATTACCGCCATCTGCAAATCCCGTTGCGGTGATGATGGGCACAGCGACCATAATCATGCCACAGCTACTCCAGACATACTTCATCAGGAACTGCTCTATCATGATGTACCATAAGCGTTTGGACAAAATGAGATTCATTTGATCTGCCAAAGCCTTGTAGCTTTTTTGCAGTTGTTTCATTTCTACCTACAGTTAAAAAATAAAACATTTATTCAATGCAACAAAGACGCACAGGTCATACAAGACACGTTCACATACACGCATGAAATAATCGGATACCCAGATCACACCCAGAGCTGTGATTTCTGAGTCACATCTGCTTCATGGTACTTCATTTTCACAGTGCTGCAGTCTCTCAGCAAAAGCTCGCAGCTTTATGAAGTTGATGGACCTGGTTCTTATTTACACAATCATCCCTCAACAACACATTGGCGGGGTTTCAGATTTTTTAAGATCTCTGATATATACAAGAACACATACAAGGCAGTCAGAACAGCTGATCCTAACAGCCAAAATAAGGTTGATTCCACGTCCTTTTAATGAAGCTGCACCTGTAGGGTATCACAGCAACTGAAACTCCTCACACTGGAAAGCGTTTGGGGCTCAATTATCTCCAATGATTTAAAGTTGCAGAGCTGATCCCTGCTTGGTTTTGCAAGTAGTCTGGAGGAAGAGAGACCTATCCTAAGAGGTTTAATAAGTCAAAGACAGTTGCAAGTCAATATACATTCAGTTCATGCAAGTATATGTAGGAATTGAAAAAAAGGTTTAATTTAGCTACACTTAAAACATTATTACAGGCAGCTTTTGAGAATGACTGCTCCTCCAAAATAAACCATTTACATTATATAATCATTGTTTGGACTGAAAGAGTAGTACTTCAGACTGGTTTCCAGCTTTCATTTTCACCTTACATGAAACAACTACTTTTTTACTTCCCCCTCCCCAAATCGTGTTTGAAAGGTGTTACAATCAAAATATACTTCTAATAAAATATGAGGGGTTCCTTAATAAGGTGGCTTTGAAACAAGTCACTAGTTTATGTAACTGACTGCTGAAGTACCGTACTTAAGCTATTTTAAGACTCCGATGACTACATCTCTGCATAGCTATGTAAAAGTGTCAAAGGTTGTAGTACTCTCTGTGCTATCACAGAGTTTTCCCTCAGACTTTCTGGTGCGCCCTGGTTGCAATTTCTGCAGCATTAAACGTGGTGGTTCACAGACGGGTAAAAAAAGAAAAGCCTGGAAAAGTTAAGCGGAATGGACTGGGTGGGGGTAAAACCGAGATTAGCTTTCTAGAAAAGCATAGGATGCAGCTGCAAAACAGGAACACTGTCAGAGCACAGGGGAACCACGTTCGGCTCCCCCCAGACACCGCCTGTGAGGCTGTATTTTCCTAGGAAACGGGAAGTGCCAGCTGTAAACAGGTTTAAATGTCGGAGGGACCCAAAGTCCTCGGGGAGGGCAGGAGGGGAAGCACGGTTGGCTCCGGCACTGCAGAAGCAACCCCACCACCCTCCAACTTCTCTCCTGCTTACCTTGTGCCCTCGGTAAAACGCTATCTCTTCCACATTGGCAATGATGCGCGAATGCATGAAGCGCAGGTAGCCCTTCTTGTGCGCCTCCTCGGCCACCAGCTTGCCAAACTTGGGAGAGCAGGCTTTGAGCACGCGGGCCGTAGCGTAGACGACGAGCCCAGCCAGGAGCGTGGGCCCGATGGGGTTCGCGCCCCGCGACCGCGCTGTGCGGATGAGGGTGTAGGAGGTGAGCACGACATCCAGGATGGGCTTGGTGAGGTTGGAGTAGAGATGCGCCACGGACTGCGAGAACATCATGATGTCCTCGGTGAGGGACTGGTCAGGGTTGGCCAGCCGCCCGTCCATGCTGATCACTCTGTAGTAAGTCTGGTTGGCAAAGTAGGTCTCATAGGCGTGATCCACCAGGCGCGTGCGGAAGGCGAGGGCCAGCTTGCACTCCAGGTACCGTATGGTGCTGTTCACGAACGTGGCGGGGATCGCAATCATCAGCCATTTGATTAACTTGAAGACAAAGCTCCTGGGCTTTTTTTCCACGATGCTCTTCACAATCTTCCCATCGAGGGCTGCCACATAGATGGAGAGGAAGGTCCGGGACACCAGAGCGACCGAGTGGAGGCAGAGCAAGCCCAGCTCGGCGCTCACCAGCTTTGGGAAGAACAGCTTGCGAAGTTCCAGCAGCTGCTTGAAAAATTCCGCGTTGACCGCCGGGGAGGCTTTGCCGGCGCGGTGCGGCGCCTCCCGGGCCCCTTCGGCCCGGCCGGCATC